AGAGCAGGAAGAGGCTATCAGCAGCTGTGCGTTATCCCCAGTACCAGAGGCAGGATGCCTCTCGGCATGAGTTGCTGGAAAGGGTGAGCAGGAGGGGACTCCTGCAGTAGCCCTGTGCATTTGGCAGGTCCTGGAGAGCCACTGTGCGCATGGAGAAGTCCCCTTGCTCTGGTCCTCAGAGGCTTTTGGCTTCCTGGCTGCATCGTACAGACAGCTTCTTCTGCATTGAGCGGAAAAAGATGTTCCCCAGAATACGTCTGGACGGACATGATGGGATGGACACCTAACGCAGTGGGAGATGCATGTGAAGGGAGATGGTTTTCCGCCATGTTGCACTTTGTGGGGCTGCCTTGGCAGTTCAGCCTTCCAACTGTTGGGATTTTTGTCACTTGCAGGCATGGCCCCGTTGCCTCCCAGGTTGCGCTCATAGGCTTTACTGGCGTTCTGGTGGGCACTGCTGACGTAAAACTCCTCCTCGCCTGCCTCCAGCTTCAGTCACGTGAACTCTGTCGTTGCCCAAGATGTCTGCTTTGGTGCCACGATGCAGAATCTGCCCTATTCCACTTGTGAATTCTCCGTCTGTTGGCAGCTGTCAGAGTTTGCAGTATCAGTGCTCTTTATTGCAGACGTTGCTGCTTCTGCAGAATAGGTTCTTTCATTCTCTTCGTGTCCTACTCTACATTTTGGCGAGAATTAATTATTTATTGTATTAATTGCAATATTTTAAAATGTTCAAGGTGGTTTACCCTAGATTAACAGTAAAGTGCAACTAGTTGCAGATGTATAAGATAAAAGGGTGTAGGCTAAAGTGCTAGGGAAATGAAATTTGAACTGATTTGAACATGGAACACCTGCCAAAAGAGAGTGGTGGAAGTCCATCGGGGGGGCAAGAATGGTCCCGTGGAGGGGAAGTTCTGTAGCGTTGGCGTGGCCATGGAGAGGCCTTCTCCCCTCTCCTCACCCGAGAGGGCTGAGCTCTTCGGAAAGAGAGAAGGAGAGCCCCTCCAGAAGGCCGTAACAAGCCAAGCGGCTCGTGGGCAGAGGCCATCGTTTCGGCATTCCAGTCCTCGGCTGTCACTGAGCCTTGAAACAAACCCGAAGCCAGTGGTGCTGGTGCTGCTGCGCTGCATCACTCCTGTGCTCAGTGGCAGCTTGAAGGAAGGTCTCCTTCCAGAGACACCTGCCCAGCTTCTAAGGTCTCCCACGGAGGTCCGTTGGGAGCCTCTCTGAAGCAAGGTGGAAGAGTGGCTCCCTGGGGAAGAGCCTTTTCGGTGGTGGCTTCACAGCGCGCTTTGCAGAGTGCTGTGCTTGGCACTGATGCGATGCTTTATTTTTGGCGTCAGGCCAAAACCTTTCTATTCGACCAGTATTTTAAGGTTGATGGCTTTAGTAGATAATTGGGGTTAATTAACGTTATATTCTTATTTTATTTTTATATAAGCCAGCCCAGGTAGCCTTTAGGCAGTAGGTGAACCGCTGCAGGGAGGGACTGTGCACACTGCGGCCTTATCTCTGGGGTCTCCCACACGGCTGCCCACCTGTGCAAGTCCTGGGTGGCCGCTGTGGGATGGGAGCTCCCGCCACCCTCCCCACCGGCTGTCCCAGCTCGGTCCTGAGAGCGGCAGCCCATCAGCTAGTTCAGCTCTCCAGGGAGGGCTGCCGGTGGGGCTGGTGCCCCGGCAAGTGCAGGACCGGTGGGAGCGGGCTGCCAGGCGTGCGGATGCGCCTCTGCTGGGGCCAGTTGGAGTCGGGACACCCTCACTCGCCCTCCCAGGGATGCGCACAGCCATCCTCCCGAGGGGTGGGGGCGTTGCTCGTGGCGGCGCCCCAGCTGCCGAGCCAGCCCGCCTGGCGGAGCGTGCATGGTGCCTGCGCGTCCTCCCCCCCCCCCACGCCTGCATCATGCTCCTAGCTAAGCAGTGGCCAGAAGTGCGCGCTCCGCAGGCAGCCGGCGGGCCCTCCCCACTTGCAATGCGCCTTCCCCCAGAGCCAGAGGGGGCGGAGCGCCTGCAGGGAAGTGAGCTGTTGATTTCGGGGAGGGGTCCTTTCCTGCGTGGACCCCAAGTGGTGGCTCTGAGCACACCGGCGCTGCTGCTTGCGCGCTTTGGGCGAGCCTCGCTCTGGCCGCCTCTTGCCGGCGTGGGGGCAGTGCCGTGCGTGCACACGGGGCGGGGGGGTGCCAGAACGCGGGCGGCCGGTTTGCCTCCCCCGCGGAGATGGAGGCACTCCAGGATGCCAGCAGTCGGCCGTGGCCAGCCAGTGCCTGGCACGAGGGGGGCTTCTGGCAGCGAGGCTGAGGAGAGCCCCAGGTGGCCGCCGGCGGGGGGCAGAGGCGGAGGTGGGCCTGGATCGGGCCGGGAGTGCCCCACGAGTGGGTCAGCTGTAGAGGTGCCCCCCCGAGGAGGAGATGCTGATGGCTCGGGGGCAACACTGGCGGGAGATTCGGTTGCTGGAGCAATGGGGGGAGCGTCTGCAGGCGAGGTGCCATGGAGCCCCACCTCTGGGCAGGCACAGGAGAAGGGGCCATGGCAGGGACACACCGAGAGGTGTTAGGGAGGGCCCTGTACCACGCCCTGGGGGGACTCGGAGGGGTGCAGCGATAGGGACGCGTGGCAGTGAAGCCTTGCAAGGGAAGCTGGAGCAGCGGGGTTCCTCCAGAGGAGGGCCATGCGCGCCTCCTGACGCACCGCCCTGTGGCGGTGCCTGTCAGCCCCCGGTCCCAGAGGCCTTGGGGCATCCTGTGCAGAGTGGGGGCAGCAGCGGGGGCAACCCTTGCCTCTGTGTCCTCTTGCCCGTTGCGTCTGGCCTGTCTGGGAGAGGCGCACGTAGATGGAGGCCAGAGGGGCTTCCATCCTGGCCTCTCCAGGCATCTCCCCTCGCAGCCCCCCTTCCTCCCTTTCTGAGGCCACTGAGCACCTCAGCCCGGTGCCACTCCTTCTCTGCTCCCCTGCTGGGGTCGACACTCTACTTCCAAGGGCCGAGCTTCATCTCCAGTTTCAGACCTGGGAATCTGAACTGTCCTCTGACCCCTCAGCTGCTCTCCAGGGACCATGGGATCATTCTCTCGGCTGCTGCTTTTCCAAAAATAGGGGCCCACTTGCTGTCTTTCCAAGAGTTCAATTAGTGATATGCGCTCCTGTCCAGCACCTTTAAAAAACCTTGTGTGTGCGACAAGAGGCCCGTTCTTGTGGTGAGCCTATGAATTGCATCCTGTACTGGGTCATCTAAAGGTCCGTTTCCTGTTCCTCAGGGTGACCGACACCCGGCCGTGACCGGCCGCGTCACTCGTCACTCGTGATGAACTTGCCAGGGTGGCCGGTTCTGTTCCGTTTCAGCCTGCGAGCAATGCATACCTGGGAGCTTGTTCGGGGTGGTGGAGGGGCGGGGAGGCTGCCTTTGGAGGTTCCTCTGTCCTGCCAATAAAGGGTGGTCGGCAGGGGCAGCCAAAATGGCTTATTACGACTCGGTCCATCTGGGTGTCTGTGCCTCACTGTATGAGGAGCATTTTAGTGCCTTGCAAAGAGGGCTTTGATGCTGCCTGTCTACAGCATCAGGCAGATTTGGATTTTGATGTGCCTTTTATGAAATTTGGAAGTACGTCAGTCTGCTTCAACTTTTTCCCTTGGCTTCAGAGATCTTGCTGGCTCGATACTGGCAAGCAGCAGTGCCATTTGGGTCTCAGCTGGTGGAGTGAGCAGCTGAGGAGGTGGAAGCACAGCCTGGGGGTCCCTAAGGGACGTGGGGCCTTGCATGAAGCTGCAGAGGCAGTCCTTGCTGCAGTGGGGGGCCAGCTCCCGCACGGTACGGCCGGCCGGTTCAGACAGACTGGGCTGGCTCCAGGGGGGAAGCAGGGGGGCAAAGGTGGGCAGAGGACGTGGCCGTTCACGTGGCCAAGTGAGGATGCTCCGGCGGAGTGGGAGAACCGGCCTGCCTGGGAAAGGAGGGAGGCATTTCAGAACGGAGGAGGTGGTGCCGGAGGGGGCTCTCTCAAGAGGCGACTTGAGGGCACAGAGCACCAAGCCCCTGTTGAGCTCTCATGAAGGGCTGCTTCCAAGCTCTGAGCCTCGGGAGAGGTAAAGCGAGGGGAGAGACTTGCTCCCCTTGATCAGCCGTCCAGTTCTGCCTCTGCACCCCCAGGGCCCCGCTGGGCTGCGGAGGGGGCCGAGGCCCTGCCGGGTCACCTGCCACCTGGCTGGGGCTCTGCTGGTCCCCCCATGACTGAAAGCCCTCCCGGTTGTCCTGTGCCTGGCTGCGCCATTCAGCTCTTCCAAGGCCAAGGCTGCGCTTCCTTTATGGATTCAGCCATCTCATATTTGGTCTTCCCTCCCGTCTCCGGCCTTTAACTTTCCCTAACGTGATTGTGCTCTCCAGGGAGCTTTGCCTCCTCGCGACGTGTTTGAAGTATGACAGCCTCAGTTTTGTCATTTTTGTTTCCAGGGAAAACTCTGGCTTGATTTGAGGTGGGACCCACTTGCTTGTCTTGCTGTCAGTCCAGGGTATTCACAGAGCTCTCCCCAGTGAGAAGCTTTGCAGGTCAAGGTTTTGCAAATGAATTGATCCAGCCTGGTTTGAGAGTGACCAGCAGGAGGTCTTGGTGAAAAGGGTTTGGCTCTGCATTGCCTGTCTCAGTGAGGAGGAGGCCTCACTCCACGGCTCCAGGTGACCTTCCCCACTGGCTTCCTACATAGGTGCTAGAAAGCCAAAGGAGCAAAATAGAGAGCCGGGAGAGTGCAGGGCCCCACGTGGTCGGGGGGACCTGCTACTTCCTGGGCATGTTCAGCCAAACGTAGGACCCGGTCAGAGCAGCACCCCCAGTTTGCCCTGCATGTGCGAAGCCCTCAGTGGGACCAGCCCTCCTTGCGCAGACAAGGTGTGGAGGTGCCCCCCCCCCCCGTGGTTTCAGACAAGGCTTCTGCCCTCAGTGTTCCCGGAGATGTGTCCTGCGGGGGTCGAGGACCAGCAGCTAACTTTGACTTTTCCCTTCTTGGCTGCCTCTCTAGACCTCAAGCAGCAGCACCAGGATGAGTGTCGAAGCGAGCAGCAAGCCCCTGAAAGTGGGGTCCAGAGTGGAGGTCATTGGGAAGGGGCACCGTGGGACAGTGGCCTATGTGGGGGCCACCCTGTTCGCCACCGGGAAGTGGGTCGGCGTCATCCTGGATGAAGCGAAGGGCAAGAACGACGGCACCGTGCAGGGAAGGAAGTACTTCTCCTGCGATGAGAACCGCGGCATCTTTGTGAGACAGTCACAGGTGAGCTTCCCCTTGGCGGCCACTGAAAGGTGCGGCCGGGTCCTTTCCAGTGTTGTGCCGTGTGCCGCTCGCTTGCAGCATCCTGGTCAGGAGAGAAGTTCTTCTAAGCCGGCCGTGGCCGGGAAAGTGGGAGAAAACGTATTTTTCCCTGCATCGCACACAGTCTTGTGGTACTTCTTGCATGTTCACACCCTTGTGGTGCACCGAGGAGATCTGCACGGCCTTGATTCCCGTCTCCACCGCCTCTCAGGACGCAGGGTTCCCCTCAGGGGTACATCGTAGTGTCTGGAAAACATTTGTGGGATGCCACTGCATAATCAAGTATTCACTGTTTTGCAGCGGAATAAAGGCTGGAGGTCCAGCTGGGCGATGTTTCGTCCAGTGTCCTCATCGCAATGGTTCCACCCCACCTGTGGAATGGCCATCTGAGCACAGTGTGCCTGGCGCCTTCGCCACAGTCTTTTGGCGCCAGGCCAAAACAGCCTTATTCTCCAGACATTTTAGTAACTGATTTTATACTGTATAATTTTAACAGGTGTTTAGTTTTACATTGTTCTTCATTTTAACATTTCATTTTAACCTATTCACACCTAAATCTCAGCTGTATATTGTCTCTGTATATTGTTGTGTTCTGCATATTTTTCATTTCATTGTTGTTATTTGAGTGTTATATGCATTTTTAGTCTGTTTCTACTGTTACAAATCGCTTGCTGTAATCCACGTAGAGAGTCCTGTGGGACTAGTGGCACAGCATATAAGCTAAATACACAAACAAAGAGAAAGTTGGACTGCTGTTCACTTGCAGCCAGTCCAATGAAGCCTCCCGCAGCCAGATATTTTGCACCATAAGCCCTGTGACTCTGTGCCTGCGTGGCCAGTGGCTCCGCTGGCGAGGCTTCTTGGAAACGGTGTGCGGGTACCTTGTGGATGCGCAGCTGGGACAAGTGCCTTCGCTGTGCTGTGTGTCAAGCGCAGAATTTCCACGAAGGACTTGCATATCCGCAAGAGTGCCCTTGGGCTAACACAGCAGAATATAAATTTAATAATAAATAAAAATAAATCAAAAATAAATATTGCACAAGGAACAGCACTGGTGAGGTTTATCCTGTTGAGCCCTGGCCAGGTGCAGTTTTCGCAGGCTGGAGAGCCTTCCTTTCAGGCGTGCTGTAGCTTCATAGTGCTTCCGTGGTAGGGATGCGTTTTCTGTCCTGTTGGGGCAGGAAGAAAATGTTTTGGCTGGGCCCTGCCTAAACAGGAGTAAAAACTAAAGGTAAGTCTCAAGAGGACCATCATGTTTTTCCTTATTTATAATGTCACTGCATTTGATTTCCTTCAGATCCAGGTTTTTGATGATGGCGCAGACACCACATCCCCAGAAACACCAGAGTCTTCCACGTCAAAGGTCCCCAAGAGAGGTAGGGCTTGGAGACGCCGCCTTCTTATGGGCGCTTCTTAAGATCTGTCCAGTTAAGCATGGAGCAGGAGGGCCCAAGGCTGCATCTGCCCCCCCCCCCAAATTCCCAGCTTGCATGCTGCGACCACAGGGCAGGAACGAGCCAAGTTTTGCTTTGCCTTGTGAGGGAAGGCTCAGGGACCATGCCTTAGAAACAGAGAAACAGAGCGAGTCAGAAGGGGCCTCCCGGGCCATCTAGTCTGACCACTGGCTCCAGCCGGCTCCGCTCACGACATGCCCACCACGTGCACGCCCAGCCTATCTTTCAACACCGCTAATGACTTAGTGGGAGAGAGACTCCGACGATCTGCCCACGCCTCTGCGCTGTCAGGCACCAGCGTGCCGAGGAAGAGCGCAGTGCTGCATGCTCAGCCCCGACTCACCAGGTGACCCACCGTGGGGGGCCGTGCTTTGCCAGGCCCTGGGCACACCGCTTGCGTGAGCCTCGCAGCAGAGGCCTGAGAGGCTCAGAGCAGCGTGAGTGTGGAAGAGGGGCAGTGCCAAAGAGCCCCAAGGAATGGCGGGGGGGAGGAACGGGGAGGTGCAGCGGCTGCCCTTGGCTAGCCCATTTGTGCTCATCTGCAGCACCGCTCCGTGCTGCTTGTGCGCGCTGACAGGTGGAGCTGAATGGCCGACGGCTTCAGGGGCCAAAAGTGCTCCTGGGAGAGGACGCTCCATAGGTCTGGACGCAGCAGTGAGGGAGCGACTGGGCACAGAAGGCAGTGAGACGTACCCCGAGTTAAGGATCAAGGCCAGAGCACAGGAAGGGTGTGAGCTGATAGGAATGGGGTGCTAGGGCTGGCTTGGGGCGGGGCTGGCAGGTGAGGAGTGTCAAAGCCACGGGGCTTCCCGTTGCCTTTCGCTCTGCAGCCTGCGCAGCAAAGCTTTTGCCAAAGGGTTGCCATGGAAACTGTTTGCCACTGCGATGTGTGACGCGGGGTGTGTGTGGTCTGTTCAGTTGCTACAGGCTCGGCAAGATGGGGGGGGGTGACAGTCTTGACCTGAATATAGAAACAGAGCAGGTCAGACGGGGCTTCCCGGGCCATCTAGTCTGACCCCGGCTCCAGCTGACTCCGCTCACTATGCCTCTGCCCCTTAGTAGGTCTTGGCTTCCGTGGCACTCAGGTAACAGTAGCTGTCCCAGGAAGGTTGGGTGGCTCGGAAAGGGGAGCACGCAGCCCGGCTGCTCCATCACTGGCTTGGTGGCAACGGGGGCAGGTGCCAAGTGCCAGCCAAAGAGGCTGCATGGAGAAGCCGCTCATCTCCCTGGGACACGTGTGCGCACCGCGGGGCTCGAGCAAAGCGCGCCACGTTTGGCTTTCAGGCTGCGGCCACTGCGCTGAGCCGTGAGGAACGGGATGGGCTGCGGGAAGGGCTGGGCTCTCGGGTGGCTTGCCGCATCCAGCCTTCCTCCCCTGCCCACCCCTTTCCCCTCAGTGAAAGCCAAGGGGCGTCTTGGGTTGGTCACAACCTGAAAAAATGCTGGGCAGCTGAGCAGACTTGTCAGCTGCTGCTGGAAGGAAAGAAGCTCCTTTGGGGGGCTGGCTCATGATGAGTCCCAGATAGTGAAGCTCCATGTTCCAGTTAGATCAGGGATGGCGAACCTTGTAGAGATGAGTGCCCAAATTGCAACCCAAAACCCACTTATTTACCACAAAGTGCCAACACTACATTAAAACCTGAAAACTGAGGTTTTTGTTTAGAATCATGCCAGGACACCTCACTTTTGTAACCCTAACCCTACCCTGGTGCACACCCCTAACCCTAATAGAGGGTGAATGTTCCATTGCAAAGAGGGCGATTTCAAAATAGCCGTCCCTGAGTAGCTTTTTCTGCACTGCTCCTAATTTCTGCCCATTCTTAACCCATTCCAACTGTCAGAATCATGCCAGGACACCTCATTTTTGTAACCCTGACCCTACCCTGGTGCACACCCCTAACCCTAATATTTATTTATTTATTTAAAACATTTCTATGCCGCCCCCATCGCAACAAAGCCTCGGGGCAGCTCACAGCATTCATAAAAAGATACAATTAATAATTTAAAAACTGGTACCATCTCGGCTATATATATTAAAATCTATAAATACAATAATAATAAATAAACAGTTAAAATAACTTTTAAATGACAAGGTCTTCGCCTGGCGCCGAAAAGCAAATAATGACAGCGCCAGGCGGACCTCTCTGGGGAGTGCATTCCATAGGTGGGGCGCCACCGCAGGGAAGGCCCTGCTCTGGGTACTCACCCTCCTAATATCATTCATGGAGGGTTCCCAGAGAAGGGCATCAGCTGCCGATCGTAGGGGGCGGCAGGGCATTTATGGACACAGACGTTCCTTTAGATAACCAGGTCCCAGGCCGTTAAGGGCTTTATAGGTCATAACCAACACCTTGAATTGGCCAGTGAAGCTGACGGAGAACTGGGGTTATATGAGAACAACACCCAGTCCCCCTCAGCAACCTGGCAGCTCTATTTTGCACCAATTGAAGTATCCAGACCGTCTTCAAGGCTAGCCCCACATAGAGCGCATTACAGAAGTCTAGTCGGGAAGTTAACAACACGGGGGTCACTGTCGCCAGGCAATCGTTCTCCACATAGGGACGCAGCTGATGGATCAGCCGAAGCTGAAGGAAGGCGCTCCTCACCACCGCCGTCTCCTGAGCGTCTAATGACAGCTCAGGGTTGAGGAGCACTCCCAAGCTGCGAACCCTGTCCCTCAGAGGGTGTGCAACCCCATTTAGCACAAGGCCCAAGTCCCCCATCCTGAAGCTCGAACTACCCACCAACAGGATCTCCGTCTTGTCTGGATTGAGCTTCAGTTTATTGGCCCTCATCCAGCCCATTACCTCGACCAGGCACCGGTTCAGCACAGCCACTGCCTCACCTGGATTGGTGGAAAACGAGAGGTAGAGCTGGGTATCATCAGCGTACTGATGATTCTGCAGCCCACACCTCCTGATGACCTCTCCCAGTGGTTTTATGTAGATGTTAAATAGCAAAGGGGACAAAATGGACCCCTGCGGAACTCCATGGCATAACTGCCATGGTGCAGAGCCATAGTCCCCCAGCACCACCTTCTGAAATCGACCATTGAGATAGGAGCGGAATGACTGCAAAGCAGTGCCTCCAACCCCAGTCCCGCTAGCCTATCTAGAAGAATACCATGGTCGATGGTATCGAAAACCGCTGAGAGGTCCAGGAGAACCAACAGGGACACACTCCCCCTGTCTCTCTCCCTGCACAGGTCATCGTACAGGGCGACCAAGGCAGATTCAGTGCCATACCCGGGTCTGAAGCCAGACTGAAATGGGTCCAGATAATCAGTTTCATCCAAGAGTGCCTGGAGTTGTCCTGCCACCACCCACTCTAGCACCTTGCCCAAGAACGGGATGTTGGCCACCGGTCTATTGTTGGCGACCACCTCTGGATCCAGGGATGTCTTCTTTAGGACTGGCCGGACTACCGCCTCCTTGAAAGGGGGAGGTATCCAGCCGTCTCTTAAAGAGGCGTTGACCACCTCCAGGATCCAGGGCACAATCCCGTCCTTGGCATCCTTGAGAAGCCAAGATGGGCAAGGGTCTAATAAGCAGGTGGTAGGACGTACTTGTCCAAGCACCTTGTCCACATCATCAGGCCGCAACAACTGAAATTCATCCATTAATTGTGGACTCGACGGCCTCATTGGCACCTCCCCAGTAGAATCTGATTCAATAGCAGAGTCCAACTCGTGACAAATATGAGTGATTTTCTCCCTGAAAGGCTTGGCGAAGTCGTCACAGCTGGCCTTCGAGGGTGGCACAAGATCTCTCTTGGGGCCCAGATTTTCCAGCCCCTGCACCACCTGAAAGAGCTCGACCTCTTATAGGGTGAAAGTTCCTTTGAAAAGAGGGCGATTTTGACAAAGACTTCCTTGAGTAGCATTTTCTGCACTGCTCATCATTTCTGCCCATTCTTAGCCAATTCCCACCATCAGAATCATGCCAGGACACCTCTTTTTGTAACCCTAACCCTA